CAGGATCCTTTATACTCCTCAGTATCTGTTGCCTGCTCCAAAACATAAGAATGCTAAAATTCAACAAGCAAGAGAAGAAAGAAAAAATTCTTAGACAGGAAGAACAACTTACTTTCCCTGAGCACAGGCTCATAAAATAAACATCTGGATGCCTTATGCTTCAAACAATATGAAGGAGAGATACAGTTTAAAACACTTTTAAAATAGGGATTTCACCTAGTTCTCAATATTAGCTGGTAGCATTTAGGTGAATGATTAGTACTAGTCAGATACCTGTCATGCAACACGTCATCCTAAAAAGTTTATTTAATACAGTTATGTTTTTGAAAAGGGAATCTTAGAAGAGGAAATATTAAGGCAAAATTATCACCTCTGATATGATCCACTGGATTGTTTTAATTGTTTGAAAGAGAGAAGGGGGAGGGAAATGTGAGATTGAATCTACCAAATTTGAGCATCAAACATGCAGCTAATGACAGAAACAGATCTTCTGACTCTCACCTTTTCTAGCTAAAGCCTGGTCCCACACAGTACTGGAGCCTTAAGTTGGACAAGAAAAGGAGCCTAGTCAAATGCCCTGTAGCTTTTAGCTAGAAAGGCTTCAAACTGAGTCTGAGGAAGAAGTGATACAATGTATAGCACATTTTCATGGCTTGAAAGTGTCCTATCCATAATATTTAGAATTGCACAGTATTCTAAGGGAGCATCTGGTTGCTTTATATTTATTTTTTATTATACTTCTTCAATTTAACAGTGACTAGGTACTGATACATGCGCATTCTTTGAAAGCATTTACGGGTAGATTCAAAGCTGCAGAACTTTGTTCAAAATCATTTGCATTTCAAAGCAGTAGAGATGTCTGTTTGGGGTGAGATCACACAAAACTATTAACTAATAACTTTAATGAGTTTTCTTAATTGCATAGCTGAATTTTGATTGAGGTCCTGTGTTGAAAAAGAGTGTCGGCCAACAGTTACTTGAGTCTTGACTTTGGACTTAAGAAACAGAGTCAGAGAAAGACAAAAAGGAGGTAGTCAGTTAATTTTTATTTTTTAATATGGAATTCCTTGATATATTTCATTTCCCAGAGCATATAAAAGTGTGATAAATACCCAAGAAAGGTCAGGGAAACAATTTTATATGTTCTCATTTGCATTCAAGCATATAAAACCTGCTGGCTCATAATTATTATTTTATTAGAATTTTTGTGCTAACAGGCCATAATTTTGATAATTACTCCATAGTGCAAAACATAGTACAATCCCAGAGCAAAAAGATGACACTCATAGCTCACATGTATCTATATACGTATACTTGTATGCATGCACTTTACCTTCCTGTGTGTATCACAGTGAAGAAAAGTTGTGGAGGGTAATGAGGTAATCTTGCAGATGTTCAGAAAGAGTTCCTGTACTGGCAAAGGATAAAGTACATAGGTCCTGGTAATATAGGCAGGAGTGAAAGGTGTCATGTTGAAGAGTGACACTGATATTTCAACACAGTGCCAATAAAGTTGCCGATTAACTAACATCCCACAAGTCTGAAGAAATGTGAAAATTATCTTCTAATGGTATTGTTGTTTACAGATAAGCAATAATGATCGAAGTAATAGAAAATATACATTAGGGATGAAGATATACCCTTTCAAAATGTTCTCACACTGAAGACCCAAGGGAGGCCCTGGTAGTGATGTTACCAGAGATGTCCTGAAAATACCACTTCACATTCATTATATTCAAACTGGACCACAAGCAATAGCTGGTCAAAGTTCACTTTAGATTTCTCCCAAAGTTACCTTGTCCTGCAAGGAATCAGGAATCTTTAAGCTGTCCAGATTTCCTTTGTTAGGCATTTGTTCATTGTTTGTACAACGAGGTAAAGTTACAAATTTCGCATAACTAAGATAAAGGGTTTTTTTAACAAAGCGTTTCAAAGCTAAGGGTGTAGTGTCAGTTGCAATTGGCAGGAGCCATGGTAGTGTCATTTGGGTCAATGTAATTGACCCAAAATAATTAATTTAATTTATGTTTTCTTCTAATCTGTACTTATTGACTCAGGTAATCTTTGTTTTTCTGACTTATGATTTAACATTTTTTTTTTATTATTGATGTGTAATTTATTCCAGCTTAAATCTCAGTTCTGAATCTTGCTTGCCCATGAGTGCATACATATACATGCACATGTGCTTATAGATAAATGCATATGTTTCTTCATCTGTGTGCACATGCTCCTGCAGAAGGCAACTGTTACTGTTTGAAGTCCTTTATTAACAGTACTTTTCTTTATTCCAGACACAGTCAAAAAATCCTTTTATCATCTTTACACTGTCCATCTTCTACTTTATACTGCTCAGAAGTTTTAGTTACCAGGTGGCTTGGATAGCTGCAAAAAGCATTTCGTATTTTTGCTATCTAAAATGAACACTCCAGGGGTGCCTCTCTTCCACTGAACCTGTTTACTTTGTGCTTCACACATTAGGTGAAGAAGGTAGGAAATTAATTCCCTGCATGCTAGAGGTATCAGTATGAAAGCACTAACCTCACAGACTGAGCTCTGAAAGTAATGATCAGAGCACCCCAAAGCCCCTTTGATCTGAATTCATTGCGAACACCTAACTCACAGACCACTGTACATTTACAGTTTTAACTTAGTGCCTAATGAAGTGAAGTTTGTCTCTGAAAACCTTTGTCACAGCTGGACTTAACTAGCAATACTTATACACGAGACTACAACTTAAGGGGGAAACTAAATGAATCTCAACAGGTTGTTCTTGTAGGACAAAGTTGAAATGTGCTTTCATAGGTAGTACAGTAAAGAGGAGTCTTCATCCAGGTCCCCAGACTACATCACAAAGACAGCATGTAGTTTGCCTAATATTATTAGTCTCCGTGTAGAAGTGTCAGAGTGGAAAGATGAAGCCACGTCAGCCAAGAGGTTCTACCAGAGAGTTATAAGAGGAGTAATATGTGTACCACTCATTTATGTTCAAAAAGCACAATTTGTATGCACCTCCATGAGAATTTTTCATTCACCCAATTTAGTTTTTTTAATAATCAAAGCATAACGGCAGTTCATTCCTTAGTCCAGTTGCAAGAAAGCTAAAGCTTACAATCCAAACCAACCACACAGTTTCTGTTGAGAATTGTTAATGATACAATAAGATCAGCAGATCCAAGTATCCACTCTTTTTCTTGCATGTTGAATCCCCACCCTTCTGATCATCTACGGTCTGAGATGGTAACCCTCTTCTCTCAGGCAGGATGATTTGGTGAGTTATCAATTCCCAAGCTATTTCCCAGGGGAGTACAGTGTTGTTGCAGCAGTTACTGGTGGGAGTTTCTTCATCAGTCTGGGGTTTACTCAGTATACTCAATACTGTTTTTATGTGCTTCAAACAGTTTATTTGCTAAAATAACCATCTGAATGGATCTTAAATTTAGTTATACTGTATTTTGTTAAATCTATGAATCCTTTCTGTGTATGGGAGGATTTCTTTTATGATACAATCCACATGACTGTACACAGATGAACAAAACTTGACTCAAATTTAAATTGAAAACTTCTTAAGCACTAGCCACCTGAGTCTCAAAGCCCAAAGACACAGGTCAGGCAGTGAGTGCCTGCCCATTGGGTAATTTTGCCATTATGGGTAGTACCTGATGTCCATTGTCATCTGTCCATACCTGAGAGGAAGTTACAGACCGGAGCTATGTAAATAATTTTACAAGTACAACTAAAATGAAGACCAAATTAACCAATTCAGTTAAGGCCTCACAAGGCTTGGGGCACCTTGTTCGGTTTATTAGTGTTATGAAGCCTGACTCCCAGTACTACCACTTGACATCATCAAGTTGGCTGTACCACAGGGATTAACAGCCTTCCATAGTCCTTGTTTGCAGTGTACCTTACTCTGCAAGTGTCTCATAGATGCCTTCCTTTGATGAGAACATACATTATTAGGTTTTCTTCTTCTTCTTCTTCTTCTTCTTCTGAAATAGTTTATTGAGTGTCTTCATTTAGTAGCTACCCTTGAAAAAGTCTCTTCCCTTTGGTGACTAAATCTATAAAGTACAGCCTTTGGAGAAAGGTAGTTAATTTAATAGAGGTTATCTTGTCTTCTACTGTCCTCAGTTTTAACCTGAAGGCAGGAATGAATAAATCTCTTACTAACAATGATTTCCATATAATTTGTTGTATTTCTTTGGACATTGTGCTCCTTAAATACAGCCTGCTCATCTTATCTTGTTTTTCTCTCCCTCAGAGCTAGTTTGCATGTCTTGGAAGTACAAAGATATGTTCTGTAAGCCCTTCTCAAGTCTTTGGTTCCAAAATCACATAAAATCTCTCTGTGCAGTAAAAGCAAAGAATCAATTTATCCTTAATATAAATTCTAATCAGAGATGCACTAGTCCTTCCTTTCTCATCTGAGCCGTTGTGTATGTGTATGGGTGAACAAGCTCCATCTATTTATAGCTGTAACATATGCAATAAATGTTAAAATGAACCTTTTCATTGTCAAGGAGCTCCTTTTCTTGAAGGTTTCCTTTAAAACACTGGTGTGAATAGGAAAGACAAAAGCCCAGTTCCATATTACCTCACGGAGGCCCAATGCTATAAACTTATCACAAATGTGATTGGCCCTATTTGCAGAGTGTATGGTGTTTATCTCTGCATTAGTTATAGCAGTGTTTTGAGGAGACCTGCTGAGACTGAGAAAAGAATAAAACCTAACCTCCTTTACTGTTTGCAGTAGGAAGCGTTGTTTTGTATCCTCTGAAGTCTGGAGGGGAAATGTTGGATAAAAGAGACCCTTCAACAAGCCCAATGATAATGAAAGAAAATCTGCCTTTTTGTTGCTCTTTCCATTCAAAAAAGATTTTATTGTATTTTTTCAACTGAAAACATGTTTTCCTGCTTTGATATGATACTGTAAAATTCGCAGAGATCTCTTTTTGCTGCACATTAACTTCTCCCCTTTCCCATCCTCATCCTCACAGGCCTGTGACGGAGCGTTAGACCGGATCAGTGGAGTCATGCGTCACACAGCTGTATCATGTTGGCAGCCGTTCCTGGGTCTGGCTGTGCTGCTAGTCTTCATGGGCCCCACCATAGGCTGCCCGGCCCGCTGTGAATGCTCGGCTCAGAACAAGTCCGTCAGCTGTCACCGAAGGCGTCTGATGTCCATCCCGGAGGGCATTCCCATTGAGACCAAAATATTGGACCTCAGCAAGAACCGGCTGAAGAGTGTCAACCCTGAGGAATTCACGTCGTACCCTTTGCTGGAGGAGATCGACCTCAGTGACAATATAGTCGCCAATGTGGAGCCTGGAGCCTTTAACAATCTCTTCAACTTGCGCTCCCTGAGGCTGAAAGGAAACCGTCTGAAGCTGGTTCCCCTTGGGGTGTTCACTGGGTTGTCAAACTTAACAAAGCTCGATATAAGTGAAAACAAGATTGTCATTTTGCTGGACTACATGTTCCAAGATCTGCATAACCTAAAGTCCCTGGAGGTTGGGGACAATGATTTGGTCTATATATCACACAGGGCCTTTAGCGGACTGCTCAGCCTGGAGCAGCTCACCCTGGAGAGATGCAACCTCACAGCTGTACCAACAGAAGCTCTTTCTCACCTCCACAACCTAATCAGTCTCCATCTGAAACAGCTCAACATTAACGCTTTGCCTGCATATGCCTTTAAAAGACTGTTTCGCCTGAAAGACCTAGAGATAGACACCTGGCCCCTCCTCGACATGCTGCCCGCCAATAGTCTGTATGGTCTCAACCTTACTTCTCTCTCCATCACCAACACCAACCTGTCTGCAGTACCTTACTCTGCTTTTAAACACCTGGTTTACCTGACACATCTAAACCTCTCTTACAACCCTATCAGCACCATTGAAGCAGGCATGCTTTCAGATTTAGTGCGCCTGCAGGAACTCCACATGGTGGGGGCCCAGCTACGCACCATTGAACCGCACGCTTTCCAAGGGCTCCGATTCTTACGTGTGCTTAATGTGTCCCAAAACCTGCTAGAAACCCTAGAAGAGAATGTATTCCATTCCCCCAAAAGCCTTGAGCTCCTCTGCATTAACAACAACCCTCTGGCCTGTGACTGCCGTCTCCTTTGGATTTTACAGAGGCAACCCACTCTGCAGTTTGGAGGCCAGCCACCGATGTGTGCTGGCCCAGACAGTGTGAAAGAGAGGTCATTCAAAGACTTTCACAGTACAGCTCTTTCCTTTTACTTCACCTGTAAGAAACCCAAGATACAAGACAAGAAGTTGCAATACCTGGTAGTGGAGGAAGGGCAGACGGTGCAGTTGATGTGCAATGCTGACGGTGATCCACAGCCTACCATATCCTGGGTTACCCCACGTCGGAGGCTGATCACAACTAAATCAAATGGAAGGGCCACTGTTTTGGGAGATGGCACCCTGGAGATCCGATTTGCTCAAGACCAGGACACTGGGATTTATGTTTGTATTGCAAGTAATGCAGCTGGGAACGACACTTACTCGGCCTCCCTTACTGTAAAGGGGTTTACTTCAGACCGTTTCCTTTACGCCAACAGGACCCCTATGTATATGACAGACTCCAACGACACAAGTTCCAATGGAACTAATGCAAACACCTTCTCTCTGGACCTTAAGACAATATTGGTGTCCACAGCTATGGGCTGTTTCACATTCCTTGGAGTGGTTTTATTTTGTTTCCTCCTTCTTTTCGTGTGGAGCCGAGGGAAAGGCAAACACAAAACCAGCATTGACCTTGAATATGTCCCTCGCAAAAACAACGGTGCTGTGGTTGAAGGGGAGGTTGCTGGACCACGAAGGTTCAATATGAAAATGATTTGATGGTATTCTGCTAGCAGTGCTTTTTCTGTGGCATTAAAACCAATTAAACCAGCCTGGCATGTGGAATTGCTAGGCAGAAGCAGCTTAATGCAGCTGTCACTGTATCAAAAGGTTACATGAAAATGGAAAGACTATTTGTGGTTATACAGCAGAGCCTCCAGACCTTGAGGCAGATATGTCAGGGCCTTTCATAGAACTGGTAAATTGTACTAACTGTTTGCATTGCAAATATTGGCATTCTGGGGATATCAGCAATGAACCGCTGGCTCATGCTCATGGACAATTGTTCAACATTTTCTACCACTACAAAAAGAAAAAGAAAAAAAAAAACAACCTACAGTGTAGGATTTACATACTTAAAGAAAAAGACACATTTGTCTAAAACATATTCTACAGTGAAATTTGTATCTATAGATCTCATTTGGTAAAACCTTGCATCATCCCTTCTAGTTGGTTCAACACCAGAAAAAAATGGTAGTTTTTTTTTTAATCTACATCTATACTGTGTACATTTTAAAGCAATACAAATGAGAGGTTGTGCTTTTAGATATCCACCAATACTGACCCAAGTGTGATGTCACCCTCCTTTTAACTGCCATCAAATCCAAATTAGACTCTTGTAGTTACCAATTAGAAATTACATCAGAAATTTTTCTCCTCATGTAGAAGGCCAGAGATGAATGGTTGAGAGCAAAAAAAGCTCAGCTCTGTTGATCTTCTCTTCATATAAATATAAGGCATGTGCCTAGTTTTGATACAGAATGGAATATTTTTTATATCTGTGATATCACACTGGACCAGTTTACTGTAACATAGTCCTGGATCTCACCCAGGGAAGGCAACCCACTAGACGTTGCTGGCATAGAGGAGTTGATTTCTACCTTGAAGAGAGCACGCTGGTTTTGCTAGCCCTGATTTTCATTTCAAAGCTCCTGTTAAAATGTTAATGTGTGCTGGGCAAAAAGAAATAACATAATGCATTCTGCATACTCCTTGGCAAATACGATCATCTTATTACTTATATGAGTGAATTGAAACATAAAAAAGCTCTGTTACTAGGAATGAACTCTTCTCCAATGCCAAGTAAACTACGGTTGCCCATGCATAGTATGGGGATTATAATACTAAAATAATGTTTAAAACATGGTAGCCTCAAAAAGGCTAACATACTGCCAGATATATTGAACCTCTAGCCACTGTCATTCTCATCTTGTATATTTGTAGATAACACATAAACACAAAGCTAATTTCCAAGAACAGATTACTTAGCTATTCTTGATGCCATTTTATTAATTGTGGTTATGTTTCTTTCAGGGGCAGTATCTTAGAGCAAGAGGGGCATGTTTTTCCAGGTTTTAGGAAGTTTTTTAATGCAGAGAAGACAGAAGTGGAAAGTTAGTTCAAGAAAATTAAATTTTTTTGGTTTATACCTCTAAACAAATCCTCAAAAGGCCCAGAACTGAAACTTTACTCTTTATTCTTTATCTTTGATACCACTTTTCTCTATTTTGAAATTCTCAGCAATGGGAAGATACAGAGTTGTTCAGCCACATCTCAATTTTCCAGCAATTATGAGCCATAGGTTTGTTGCTAAGTGATTGATAACAAATAAAATTTATAAATTATTGGCATAACCTGAAGTAAGGATAATAATGACTATGTACACATTTAACTAAAATGAATATGAAAATATTATAAGACAGAAAATTCTGTGTCTAATCTTAAAATTAGATTTCAGCACTTTGAAACCAAAGTCAGGCTGGCCTATAATGGGATGCAGGTGCTTCTAAAATTAGTATCCACATTCTTTGGCAGAGATTTCTAAGCAGCATAAAATCTCCCACTCCTATCAAGGGAAATGTGCCAAAAAGTTGGAAAATCCAGCTGTGCTCCCCAGGTATATACCCCTAAAATAGCTGTAGGACCCAAGGCTAGGCAATTTTGAGAATCTATTTTCTTAGTGGTTGATCTTTGGTTGCACTGCTGCTCCATTTTAGGTTGCCAAACTAAAGAGGATGCAAGGATTGTTAGAATTTTCTTCACTACAGTTGATTTTAACTTTAGAGTTGGGTTTTTTGCTTCCTCTTTTTTTTTATGCTCTGAACAAGATAGTTGGAGATTTATGAAGATGCTTGAGACTAATCCTCCCTGTTCTGTAACGGTTTGTAGAATGTTAATGAAATGGAATTACCCCTGACTAAATTCTATCACCAGGGAAATTATTTTTGCTGATATAATAACCACTGCACTGAAGTCCAAAACTCTACTGTACCTTAATGTGGGCAGTTAAAGAAGCAAATGGGGATAAAACAAAGTGTTTCTGAACTGTCCACTGAAGACATTTGCATGTGCCTTTCCCTTGTAATTGTCATTTTTTCAACTAGTAATCTATTACCCCTGCAGTCATTTCATGTTAAATGTTAAAATCAATGTTAGAAGCAAAAATTCTCCTAAATTCTAGACAGTTGCAGATGATTGCTTCATATTAAATGACACAATAAAAAAAAAATCTAAAAAAAAAAGTAGGAAAAATGTGCTTTTAGGATTAATTATGGACTGCTGAATTCCCCTATTCCCTTAGAGTGACTCTGAAAAGTGATTGCATTGTTAGTGCACTGCAAGGATTTCTGAGCGGTAATGTGCTTAGTTACCTATGTGAAATGTGTGCTGGTGATGAAAATCACCGCTTGCTCTTGCTGAGCACCACCTTGCAGAGCTGTAAGCGTTGTGTGTATGGCCTTGAGTTCAGTCAGTATTCAGTTTTTAAGAATCAATGTTCGCTCCCTGCCTCCAGCAATGTTCTACTTTTTCCAGCCTACTTATGTCACCGTAGACTTGGCAAGGCATATGGCATCCCTTAACAGAAGTGAGGACAGCAAGACTCAGAGATAAGCTTTTATCCTGTTCCACATAATCTTCTTTATATGTAGTTGTGGGACACATGCTCACATGATTATTTTGGGTGGACAAGGAATACAATGTCAAGGTCAGACACAGATAAGCACCTTTTTTGGCAATTCTTTTAAGAACAGAGTGGCTTAAGGCCTAACCTGCATCTTGAAGGATTCACTTCTTCTCTGCTAGAGATCAAGGAGATACCATACTTTATCTTAGTGCAGGGGAGAAAAAAGACTGGGCTGTGAGGAGGCATCTGGCCCACATGGCTCCCCTATCATATATTCAGAAACAGGTGGACCATGCATTCCTGCCACTGAAAGAGGGAATTAAGGTTTTTCCCCTACCTCTGACTTGTATACTGGCTGCCCTCCAACACTGGCACAAGGCCCAGCTTGAACTTGTCTGGCAGTGGTTGCAACAAAACTCTGAGGAGCAGCAATAGTTCTGCAGGAAAGTAGAAAACTGAAAAGTAGAAAAAGTCAAAACCAGCAGAGAGACTTGAGGAAGCAAGTACCACAGTATCCTTATTAATAATTCCCATTAATAATTCCCATAAGAGCAGTGCTGAGGTTCCTACAAATACATTTTGAAGTCCGCTTCCACAAACCAGAACTCCTCTTCCATAAGGGATGGATGTAGAAGTGCTCAGACTTCCCACTAATGAATTAAAGAGAACACCACTACAGCAATGTATTGAGCATTTACAATGGTATAAGGGCAGATAAAGGCTAAGCAGTACCCCATCTCAACCTTAGTTTTAGGTTTTGAGCTGCTTGTCATCTTCTACTTCCCCTCCCCCAACCCTTCTTTCTTTCTTATTAACTTGGCACCATTCTTTTCAGAAAAACACTGTCCTCAATGTCAGCTCAGTTAAATCCAGACTGGGATACTGCTTTTACCCTCTGTTCCCCCCTCTCTCAACATTCACACATGGTCTCAGTGCCAACACGGTCAAAAGCTCCAGATACAGTTGACATCAGCCAAGAGACTCTGAGACCCTGTTGATACAAGATGATGTCACTAGGTGCTTTTTTTTTTAACTAAGCTTTTTTTTTTTTTTTTTTTTTTTTTTTTTTGGTTACAGCTTTAGTATCGTATCAACATGTTTAAGAAACCTACCCTTTGTTTATGGTAACTCTTGTTTTGTATTTTTTTTTCTGTGTTTTTTTTTTTTTTTAATATGTTTTTTTTTTTTTTTTTTTTTAATTAGGTTGATGTCATTGTCACACTGCCATTCAAGGTTTCCTTTATTTATGTGAACAGTAGCTATCTTTTTTTCCTTATTTCTTACATCATGGCATTGCATCACCTATGATGGTAACAATTATTCTGCCATAAAGAAAATCAACAAGCAAGCTATTTTGTACCTTCAACATCAGAAATTTTAGGTTAAACGTATGAGATACAGTAAGAAATCAGCCTCAATATTTAATGAAAAGTCTTATCTAAACCTTGTGATAGAAGAAAAAGCTGTTTCAGGGGAACTTTGGAATGTAGGCCATGTTGCAACACAATCACATCAAAGATACGTAGAAATAGACTTTTCATACACCATGTCTAGATATCTAGTTTAGATATTGGACTTTCCCCGAAAAGCTTTCAGGATATGTGAATGTCAGAATTACACATTTAACTCATAAAAAGACAAAACATTTGCTGAAAATCCAGTAGAGCAAGCAGCTTCTGGCTTCCCAATGACAACAGCAGCTTCTAGCAAAGAAACTGCAGTCATACAGTTATTTTGCCTCCTCTGCTACTGCATCCTGTGAAAAAAGGGTCCATTAGCCAGTAATAAAACAGACAATCCATACTCATTTTTCTTCAGAGGACAACATTTGTCTAAATAATCCACTCCATCCCCAGGAGTGAAACATCCAAAAGGAGGTGAGGAACAGAAAGCCTATTCTGTCCAGTTTGCTAATTATCTTTTCCCCCTGAATGATCCTAGTCTACCCAGGGCTAATGACTGCTCTGTTCATTCCCATCCTCTCAGTTCACAATGTGGCTTGACATGGAGTACCAGGGAAAGGAGCACATAGTCAAGTTTTCCCTCCTTCCTGAACTGTAACTCTGGTCTTTTCAAATCAAAGAACCAGCACAGC